TGACCATTTCTAAACTTTCTCTATTTCTCTTTATTTCTTTTACATATTATTTATTTTTGTTTTTCTTATTAATTTATTTTGGTATTATAGTTAAATTTTTAAATAGATTAATATTGTTTTAAATGATTATTGGTTTTAAAATAATTTTTGTTTGACATTATTAATTAAACTATTAATTAATTTTATCAAATGAAAAGAGTTTTAACTCAAATAAATTATTTAATAGTCTGGACTTGTATTGTGTGATTTAATTATAGCTTGGGTGTTTATTTCTTATGTCATCCACATTCATAAACTTGTACCCCCATTCCCGAAGCGTTGTAATAGCATAGAACTTCATTTTCCGCATTTTACCGCTTTTACTTATCTTTGTATAGTAATTAGGCGTGTATGGAAAGATTTAAAACCAGCCGCTAGATAACCCTAATCAAGACAAATTAACTGAAATCAAAATAATATTCACACACGCACCTATAGGGTAACCTCGCTTGTTGCTTTCGGATAAAACAATCATGTCCCTCGAACGTGGGACGCTTTAGAAAAGACCCTCGATTAAAAAAGATCGTAGTCCATCAATGACCCTTTGATGTTGCCTTCGGTAAACGATCTTAATCCCTTACGAAAATTGCTAAAGCATCCTACAAGTTTCCTTCTATGAATGTACGATGACCCGCGCATGTCCCTCTCATCCAACGTTAGGGCTTTTTACTAACTGATAGTAGGCTAGCATTATTTAGAGGAGAAGGAAAAGAACAAAGACTTTTTGAGTAGGTAAATCTCTCGTAATCGCTTACTCACAAACTAAAACAATTTTCACACCTCACAATTTCAAAAACAACACTTTCTTTCAATAAATATTTTCAAAACAAACATTTCGTATACATTCTCAACGATGCGAGAATCATTACAAAATTGTCGTACTTAGGCATTTTCAAAATATTTTCAAACATACACAAACACAAAGCATTTCAAAAAAAAAGTGAGCTAGCGATTAAGAGCTCGTAGATAACTACAGATGAAAATGGTGCTAATACCTTCCCTTTTCATAACCTACCCCCTTACTCAGAAAATTCTCAAAGGTCTTTCTTGTTCTTTTCACCCTTTCCTTTATTGGATAAAAGAAAAGTCGATGGTGACTCTTGCTATCTGCAAGATTTATGATAAAACGCAAAACCAAAAGTCAATTCTCTCACTGTATTACAGAACTGGCGACTCTGCTAGGGAAAATTAAAAGTGGGGTTACCTTAGAGTTAGATCATATTTAAAAAGTGCCTTACTTGTTGATTTATATGCTTTACATTTCGGGGTTTTTCTAGGGTTATTTTTGTATAAATCTTATACCTGAATCTGGGGGTATTTAGGTAAGTAGCTATAGATTGTGGAAACTGTACGGCGTAGACCGATATGGTTGAAGTGATAGCTACATTAGTGCAACACATTGGTTGGTGCTGGTGTCCCTTGAGTAAATCAAGGAGAATGTTGGGCTGTCGCGTGGTGTCATAAGCACTAACTGACCTTAGAACTTTAGTTAACACAACTTATACATTAAAAAGTAGTGAGATGGTCGGCTTTGGTGCAGACTGAAGATGGTTGATACTCGATACTACACTCATTGAGATTGGAATCTCGGGATATTTCGGCTGCAAATCATATGCTTGAGCTGAAATAATGCCTGAGAGAAAGATCGGTGATATTGAGATTCCTAGAACCCAGTTACTTCTTTTAGGACAGGTTGAGCCAACTAAACTCAAGAGGGTACTTTCTTATAAACCTCATGCAAGCCTGAATCTAAGACCTTGTGTGTCTTGTTTGTGTTTGATTAAAATTGTTCGAACATGACACCATAACATCATGACATCATTACACATATCATTTTCACTAACCATTTCGAGAACCTAGGGATTTATCTTTGTTTCTTTGTTGTAGGTTATGGTCTCTGTAACAGCCCGAGCCTTCAGCTTTCCCGACATTTTCACCAAGCCACTCAAGTTGGAAACTTTTGTGAAGCTAAGGAGTATGCTTGGAGTCAAAAATAAAGTTTAAGGGGGGATGTTGAAATATAAACTTGATTTGGGCCTAACTTTATTATTTGGTTATTTTAGCTTAGTTATTTTGGGCTTAATTAATTTTGGGTAATGTTTCTAGAGAATTTTTGTAGTGTTTGGAGTGTTTAGATATTTCTTATAGTTGTAATATTTTCTATAATACTCTTTGGATCTATAGAGTTGAGAACTCTCTAGAATTAGTGTGTCTAGAGTTCTCCTTAGAGTACTATAAATAGAGTTATAATCTCACACTTTCTCATCAAGCAAAAATACAAAATTCTCTCCTCCATAAAGAATTCTCCTACCTATCAAGTTTGTATTCAAGCCTCTAATATTCCCACATATTTTTCCTAAACATAAAAGGCCTTATTTCCAACAAAACCTACCAGGACTCTCCCAAAACATTGATCAAACTACAATTCTAATCAAAACAACATCTAGCTTTTTGTATAAAACAACTGGAAAAGAATTTGAGTTCCAAAAATGTTAGATTGCTTCATCTCAAGCAATTCCAACTCAACCTGATTCAAAGGTTATCAAAATTAGTGTTATTGTTCAGAAAGAGGTTCTTGATGGAAAAACTCTCCAATAATCTTATGTTGTTGAGTTTTTTCAACACAACCACATTTGTGTACCTTGTACTAAGGTTCAGCCTAATCCTAATTAATGGAATTCGGTTGTGTAACTAAAACAACAAGCTTTTGATATGCGTAGTTTCTTTCATTTGGAATGGGTTATTTTGAACCATTGTGTTATTGTTAATGATGTCAGAATCAATAAGATGAAACATGGTATTGATTTATTTTTCCCCGATACAAGTTGTGCTATAAAGTTTCTTAATTTTGTTAAGGGAGAAGTTCTTGTGATGATTTCTGAGAATAAGGGATTTGTTTCTCAAGTTGCGAAAAATAGTAACTATTACTCTTATAAATACACTTTTTCTGTTGAAGTTTGTCCCATTTACCGCCAGGATTTGATTTTTCTGCCACCTAAAGTTGCTTTGAGTTTGGGGAATATCGATCCTATTGTGATTTGTACTAAGGTTACCAATGTTATTACTTTGTTTGATCCGTTAACCTCGACACAATGTTAGTTAGATGGTGATATGTATTAGAGGGCACCTTTCAAGTCTTTTCTCACTAGGAAAGAGTTAGTGGAATATGTTGTGCTCGATGTCGAGGAGGTTTGTTCATAGGTTACTAGGAAAGATTGGGAAAGAATGACACGAGATTTAGTATCAAAACTCATATGGGTTATCTCTTGAAAACCAGTGACCGTGCTCTTGGTTTGAATGGTGTTGTTGTGATGTTTGTCAATTGTTTCTTCTATTCTCTTTCTTTTGTAGTCTTGTTGATCATTGTCATGCTTAGAACTACTATTTTTGTGTTGTTCTGGTTGTCAAGATACTATGTTTTTGGTGGCCAGAGTGTGGTCTTCTATGATGGCCAATTTATCAATATTCCTTAATAGTCCTTCCGGAATGGATTTGTTGTTTCCATAGTTAGGGGATTTTAAGGGGTTACACATATTCAACAACTTATTAGCATGCTAAATGCCCAATTTGCACTCAAACAGTTTGGCAAGTTAGAGTACTTCCTAGGGATGAAAGTAGAGCATCTAAAAGATGGATTTCTCTTCTTATCTCAAACCAAGTACATGAGAGATCTTCTAGTCAAGGACAAGATGATTGATGCGAAGGGAATGCCTACCCCGTGATCTCTAATATCAAACTCTCAAAACATGAGAATGACCATCTATGTGACCATACATTCTATATATTTATTGTTAGGGCTCTCCAATATGCTATTATCACTAGACCTAAAAAAAAGATTTACAGTCAATAAAGCTTGCAAGTTTCTTTCACAACCTCTTGACATGATTGAATAACTGTTAAGAGAATAATGAGGTACTTAAAAGGGTTACTTCATCATGGTCTTCTTCTTCAACCAACTTCAATTTAGTAACCTTTATCCATAAAACACTTCTCAGATTCAGTCTGGGGAGCAGACCCAAATGACAGAAAATCTACTTCAGGATCTTGTATTTTTCTAGGTCCTAACCTCATATATCCTTGTGGTCCAAGAAACAAACTTTAGTGGCCACACCCCGCACTAAAGCTAACTCAGCTTCTGCATTCCTTTGAATCTAGTCCCTTCTCACTGAACTAAGGGCTCCATTTACAACACATATGCTCTTTTGTGATAATCTAAACACAATTGTTTTGTCTCACAATCCATTGGTTCATGCAAAGACCAAGTACGTGGAATTTGACATCTTCTTCCTTAGAGAAAAAGTGCTTAGCAAGACTCTAATAGTTCATCATGTTTCCTCCTTTGATCAGTTTGCAGATCTTCTTACAAAATATTTTACTAAACATCTGTCTCCAATCAAAAAAATTTACCTTCAAAATAAGTTGCACATTTAAGACAAGTTCACTCTTACTCAGAGATGACCCTATCTTTGGAGAAAATGTATTAAAGTATAAGAGTAACTCTAGTTAATCTAACTAAATATAATTCCCTGTAACTAATTATGCTAAGTCAACACAAGTTAGTTCAGCACAGATTAGCTAGGTTTGGCTATAAATACATTTAACAAGTAAAAAAACAACTTTCACGCTTATTCATAAATATATTTAATTTATTTTTTTGATTTCACACTAATTTACCTTTTAATTAATTTGTCATTCACTAATAATATTATTAAGTAATTAATACATGTAAATAAATTTATTAACATTTATTTATACTTAAGGTACAAAAAAAGACTTTCACGTGTAAATAAATATGATGATCGGAGTAATTTGCATGCAAGCAATAGAAACCCTAGCTAGAGAAGCATCAACAACTGAGTAAGTAGCGACAACACTTCCTTCGGTTTTTCAGTCTCAAATTTTCCTCTATTTAACTGTTCTTCGATTTCCAATAGATCAACAACACCTTTTTCTTTTCATCAATGGAAGAAAAAGATGTTGATATTATGACACCTGATCGAACCTTCTGCGCCATTCCTTGTTCCCAATGCAAATTCCCAATTCAACCAAACTCACCCAATCCATGCGTCAAATGTTTACCATCAAAAAACGATATCACATTAGGGTTACGCAAGAAACACTATCTCCTACATTGCCCTCAATGCAAAAGCTACCTGGACTCTCCCAAAACAGCGATCAAACTACAATTCCAATCAGAAGAGTTTCTAGCTTTTTGTATAAAACAACTAGAAAAGAATTTGACTTCCAAAAATGTTAGATTGCTTCGTTCTCAAACAATTCCAACTCAACCTGATTCAAACATTATCAAAATTAGTGTTACTGTTCAGAAAGAGGTTCCAAATGGAGAAACTCTCCAACAATCTTATTTTGTTGATTTTGTTCAACACAACCGCATCTGTGACCTTTGTACTAGGGTTCGGCCTAATCCTAATCAGTGGAATTCTGTTGTTCAATTGAAACAACAAGCTGCTTGTTGTGATATGCGTAGTTTTTTTCATTTGGAACGGGTTATTTTGAGGCATTGTGTTGCTGCTAATGATGTCAGAATCAATAAGATGAAACACGGTAATACTTTCTTTTTCCCCAACAGAATTTCTGCTAACAAGTTTATTGATTTTGTCAAGGGACAGGTTCCTGTGAGAATTTCTGAGAGTAATGGATTTGTTTCTCCGGTTACAAAGACTAACTGTAACTCTTATAGATACAATTTTTCTGTTGAAGTTTGTCCCATTTACCGCCAGGATTTGATTTTTCTGCCACCTAAAGTTGCTTTGAGTTTGGGGAATATCGGTCCTTTTGTTATTTGTACTAATCTTACCAACGTTATTACTTTGTTTGATCCTTTAACCTCGACGCAGTGTTGTTTAGATAGTGATATGTATTGGAGGGCACCCTTCAAGTCTTTGCTCACTAGGAAAGATTTAGTGGTATATATTGTGCTAGATGTCAAGGAGGTTTGTTCAGAGGTTACTATTGATGGTAAGAAATTCGGATTAGCTAATGCTGAGGTTGCTCGTGTGAATGATTTGGGAAAGAATGACACTAGATTTAGTATCAAGACTCATCTGGGCTATGTCTTGACTACGGGTGACTATGCTCTTGGTTATGACTTGTGGGAGGCTAATTGTAGTGATAGTGAGATTGAACTGAAGGAGCACATTGGAAACGGTGTGATTTTAATGAGGAAGACATATGGAGTGAAAGGCATGATGAAGAGACGTGTGGAGCATCAGTCATACTTAAAAGATCTAGAACAAATCACTAATGAGGTGCTCGGCATATCACTAGGTGATGAAGAGCCAACTTTGGAGGAGAAGCTGGGTAATCTTAATCTAAGTGGTGAGGAATATAAGGAGAAGAAGAAGGCAAAGAGGATGGCATGATCCAATAAACAAAAGTAATTTCTATCCTGATATTGAAATTTAGGAAGTCTTTCTTTGGTATATGGCTATGCAGTTTTTTCTTTTGTCTTTTCGTTTTGGTTGTTTTAATTTGCATTATTCTCTTGAAACCTCAATTATGAGCAGAAGTCAAAATTAGGTATGAACGTTTCACCTTATGTTTCTCTAAGTTGGTTTAACTAGTCATTATTATTTTGATTAACTCTCTTATTACAAAAGTCTCATTTTGATTGTTTCCAACTAGTTCTCTGTTTTCTTAAACCTCTGCTCTATATGAATCAAAACCGTGTTGATTGTTACCAACAAAGGTCCCATTTTGAATGGTGTTGTTATGTTATGTGACTTCATTCCAAGTTAGGTGTTTGTGTTATATATTTGAGAACTTTGAAAATATTCAAAGGTATCTATGCTTAATGGTACTAATTAATGTAACCACAAAAAGCCAACCAATAGAAAAAGCAACAACCAGAAGTTGTTTTATTCTGTTAACTTATGTTACAGTTACAGTAGTAATAATTCTAAAGTGAAAATGAACCTAATAGAGTTGTGTAACCGTATCATTACCACAACAGAGTTGAATCTTGTAATTAACATTGTGCATAGATTTGTTAGCTCTTTCGTGGTACCATATGTATGCTCCACATATTTGTTATTCAATGAGTGGATTATCAATATCATGTAGCTTGTAATCAAAGTGTTATGATCGTTATGTTTCACATTTAGTATTAACTTTGATACATTTGTCAATGTAAATACAATTTCCCTCTAATATTTGAAAGTGTTAATGTAATTTACCTTTAATTATATTGTGAAAGGCACATAAGTTAAAATTAAGATAAATACCTTCATCATCAGAGCTTGAATTGAATCTGAAGATGTGAAACTATAATAGTTAAATTCATCAAGTGAGTTGTTATCATTATCATTATATTCATCTTTATGATAAATAGAATTCAAATCAAATGAGAACTATTGTGGTGGGTCATAATTATGTCCTCCATTTAAGTTTTGATTGGCCATGGATGAAGTAGAAGTAGCACCAAAATCAACTTCAACAAATCTTGTCATTAAATTGACACCATCAAAATGCAACTGATTTTACTCTTTTATTCATATTATTTTATTGTAATTTGATTTTAGAAGTTAGAAGTTAATTATAAGGTGGTTAGACATTATAACTAAGTGGTGATTATTAGCTTCACATATAATTATTATTAGTTTCATATGTGATTACTACTAGTTACATATAACTAGAAGTTAGTTAATTAGTAGTATATATGGTTCTATATAAATGTTGCAATGCATGTTTGTGAAACAATCAAGTAGATCAATTAGAAAAAGAAAAAAAACTCACTCTTCACTCTAATTTCATTCTAACCCCTCTCAAATTTCATATATCCTTTTTTTGTGACAAGTTATCCCAACACTTATGAGCTCATTCTTGTTGAATATGTGGTTGTTTTAAGACAACTACATTCAAATATTAATTGGATTTTAGTTTAGATGAACTGATATTATTGGTTGTGTTTGTAATGTCAACAATAGTTGAAGAACTTTCTTTTCTTTTATTATTTTCGTGTTTACAAGTCAATTTTGTAGGGATAATTTAGACAAAAACTCTAATTTTAATATAGTATCAAAATTAACTTTAAGGGCTGTAATTGTTTTCATGGATAGAATCAAAGTGAACTTAAACTCTATATGATATTGAATTTGTATCATGAAATATAAAGTTTAATAGATAAATTTGATTGATTTTCAATATTATAGTATCATTTTATTTTTTTTCTCTTGATAATTTGAGTTTGAGCTCATGTTTTACATTGTAACTTTCACCATTTGAGATAGGTATATGTCCTGAAAGTTTTGATCATAAGAGTGAAATTTATAAAACTCTAAGAAAGGAGCTATTGTAGCAGGTTCTTCAAGTTAGTTTTGTATTCATTCAGTTTAAACAAATCAGAGAATTAAACAAGTCCAACAAAGATGTGGCTACAAGTTGGGCAGAATAATTTCAAAAAGACCTGATTCAAAACAAAAGACTTCCATGGTTGTTGGAGGTGTTAGTTGTAGAAAGTGTCGGTTTTGTTAGAGTAGCTAAAAATCAGTTAAGTTTGTTATAACTGATTTTCACTAGGAAAGTTTCTTGGTGTGTAAGTCATATATAAGTGTCTTTGGTCTTTGAAGTAAAACCAGATGTTAGAATGCATAGTTTTTTGTTCTAACAAGTGCTATTAGATTAGTTGTGCATTCACAAGATTGAAGTGACTCATTGATCATCTTTGAGTGCACACTTGTGGATGAGAAACACGGATCATGCGGTACTAAGGTGTGTTGTGAGTTCTTGAGGATTCTTTAAGGCAACCTTACCATCTCCAGTAGTAGAAATCAATCATGTCCACCATTCATTCCAAAGTTCGATGGCCACAATGATGATTGGGCCATGCTTATGGAAAATCAGTTGCAATGAAAGTAGTATTTTACCACTGTAGAGCAAGGTTTCCTTGTTCTTTCGACTACACCAACACAAGAACAGAGGAAGTTAGTTAAATAATGTAAACTAAAAGATCTCAAGACGAAAAATTATATTTTTCAATCAATTGATAGGCAAATAACTTAAACAATTCTTGACAAGATTCATCTGAATACATTTGAGATTCAATGGCTAAGAAGTATCAGGGGTCTTAAAAGGTGAAAATGGCACAATTACAAGCTCTACCGGGAGAATTTGAGCTTCTTCGCATGAAAGAAAATGAATCAATTGATGATTACATTACAAAAACATTATCAACAGTAAACAAGATGAAGATTCATGGTGAGAATGTGGAGGAACACACAGTTTTTGAGAAGATCCTAAGGTCCATCTCCTCAAAATTCAATTATGTTGTCTGTGCCAATGAAGAATCGAACAATACTGGAGAGTTATCCATCAATGAATTGCAAGATTCCCTCTTAGTTTATGCTCAAAAGATGAAACATATCAAGAAGGAAGATCAAGTCCTGACGGTCTATAATGTAGCTAGGATGGCAGGCAGAGGGAGAGTTCGTGGTGTCTTGCAAAATGCTCAAGGTTGAGGAAATGGACTCAATAGAAGTTCTATATAGAGAATCCATTCACCCCCTTACCTAAATTTGCAGCTCTGATACTTCAACAATGGAGAACTTCCTTAGCTCTAGTTCTCTCTTCTCTTCTCTATTTATACGTGACAATAGTTTTTCTTTCCAATAGTCTAACTCTCTTCTATTGCATTTTACTATTACTAACACTCCACTAATAATAATAAAAATAATAATAATATTAATATTAATAATAATATTAATAATAATATTAAAAATCTTAATAATAACTATAATAACAAATAATTACTACGTATTTAAATGAGGCGTTACAGAAGCTATTAGAGGATGGAGTGTATAGCAACTAGATGTGAAAAGTGATTTTCTTCGTGGACAATTAAATGAAATAGTTTATGTTGAACAACCTTTAGGCTATGTAAAGAAGGAAGAAGAAATCAAAGTTTATAGGTTGCATAATGCCTTATATGGACTGATGCTGGCTCTAAGGGTTGAGTACAACAAAATAGAAAAGTTCTTTGAAAACGAAGAATTTGTCAAGTGTCATCATGAGCACACTTTGTTTGTGAAAGAAGACAAAAGTAGAAATTGGTTGATCATCAGTTTATATAATGTGGATGATCTAGTTTTCTCATGAAATGAAAATAACAAGTTCAAAGGTTTCATGAAATCCATGTTGAACACCTTTGACATGAGTGGCTTGGGAAGATGAGACATTTTCTAGGAGTTAAAATTAAGCAAGACAGTGAAGGGCATATTCATAGTCAGCAAAAATATGCCAAAGAGATACTAAACATGTTTGGTATGAATCAAAGCAATGTTGTATGCACTCATGTCTTACCATGAACCAAGATATCAAAACAAGACAAAAGAGATAATGTAGATCCTAGTCAAATCAAGCAAATGGTGGGAGTCCAAATGTATCTAATTGGCACTAGGCCTGATTTAATGTTTACCGTGAGAACCTCTTCTTGAATCTCATCTAATGATTGTCAAAAGAGTTTTGAGGTATCTAAGAGAAAAAAATTGAGTTGGGAATTCAATACATGAAAGGTGAGCATTCTGAGTTGGTGGCTTACTCAGACTGTGATTACGAATATGTAGATGACATAAAAAATACTTTAGATTATGTTTTCATGCTAGGGTCTGGTGTAGTGTCTTGGTTAGTAAGAAAGCAACCTATTGTGACCCTACCCACAACTGATGTTGAACTAATAGCTGAAACTCACTGTGTGTGTCGAGGAATACGGTTGCAGAGAATTCTAGATAACTTGGGCCTAAAGCAAGGCAAGTGTTTAACTGTTTTTTGTGAGAATAATCTCTACTATCAAGCAAAGCAAAAATCATATCATGAATGGAAGGAGCAAACATATAGATATAAGGTTTCAGTTTAAAGACCTAAGTAAAGAATGTGAAGTTGAATTGATGTATTGTGCCTCGCAAGACCATATAGCAGATATAATGATCAATCCTCTAAAATTTGAATTGTTCGAGAAGCTCAAGAAACTTCTTAGAATTTGCATGATTTCCAAGATAGCTAATTCTAGTTTTTTGATGTTTTGATTTGTTTTTTATTGTAAACCAGTTACTTGGACAACTTTGATTAAAGAGAAAGTTTGTTAATTTTGTTAGAGTAGTTGAAAATCAGTTAAGTTTGTTAAACTGATTTTCACTTGGGAAGTTTCTTAGCAAGTCATATATAAATACCTTTAGCCTTTGAAATAAAATTAGATGTTAGAATGCATAGTTTTCTGTCCTAACAGAAGAGAATCTTCTCGGATGAATCTAGCAAGCTTTGTTGAAAATAGTTGAACAAGTGTGTCTTCTTCACTAAGATTTTCTTTGACACAAACTTATGAAGAAAACCTCTTCTAGTATTCATGGGTTTTCTAGAAGTTGCTAATTTA